AGCACTGTGAGCACACTCAACAGAGTGAGTGTGTACTGTGTGGCCATCGAATTAAAAATGACTGAGAGAATGGAGCAATGAATCTGCATCAAATTTGACATTAAGCTTGAACATTCCTCTGCAGAAACTGTTTGGATGGTTCAGAAAGCCGCAGATAAGGGAAAGTGATGACTGGCAGCTTCGTCACAACAACACACTCATTCATGCATCACATCTCCTACAGAGGTTGAAACATCAAATCAGCCAGGTGACTCAGACCCCCTATTGAGACTAGTTTTTAGACTAGTTTTAATTTATTGAGACTAGTTTTGCATTCTAACATGTGATCTATCCTAGAAAACGTTGCATGTGCAGTCGAAAAGTATGTATATTCTGCTGCTTTGGGATGAAATACTCTGAAGATGTCAATTAAATTCATTTGATCTGGTGTCATTTGATCTAGTGTGTCATTTAAGGCCGCTGTTTCCTTATTGATTTTCTGCCTGGAAGATTTACCCATTGAAGTCAATGAGGTGTTAAAATCCCCAAGTGTGACTGTATTTCTATCAACCTCTCCTTTGGCTAACTGTGGTTTTTAGGATTCCCTCTTTGCCTTTAAGTCTTGGTGTAGACTTCTTTGGATACAACTTGTTTGGGACTCTCTGAGCTTTCTGGACTTGTGTGACTTTTTCTTTCACCAGATTAGGAAAGTTTTCAGTCATTATTTCTTCAAATAGGTTCTCGATCCCTTGCTCAGTCTCTTCTCCTTCTGGTATTCCCATGATATGGATTTGCTATGCTTCATGTTGCCCAAAATATTTCTTAAGATTTCCCCATTTTTTGAAATTATTTTTTTCTTGTTGCTATTCTGCCAGGGTGTTTTTTCTATCTTGTCTTCCAAAATACTCACTTTATCCTCTGCTTCATCTAACCTACTGTATTCCTTCCAGTATATTATTTATTTCACATATTATGTTCTTTATTTCTGACTGGTCCCATTTTATGGTTTCTATGTCTTTTTTCATCCAGTTGAGTATCCTTGTAATCCTTACTTAAACTCTCTATGTAACAAATTGGTTGCCTCCATTTCATTTAGTTTTTCTGGAGAATTCTCTTATTCTTTCATTAGGGGTCTGTTTCTTTTGCTGATGTTGTTGTTCAAGTATAGTTGTCTCCATTTTCCCCCACTACTCCCCCGACCCCAGCCATCCCCACTTCCCACCCTTGATTCTAACCCCCTTTGATTTTGTCCATTTGTCCTTCATACATGGTCCTGAAAGCCCTCCCCTCTCCCCATTATCCTCTTCCTCCTCCCCTCTGGTACTGCTAGCTTGTTCTTAATTTCAATGTCTGTAGTTATATTTTCCTTGCTTGTTTGTTTTGTTGATTAGGCTCCACTTATAGGTGAGATCATATGTTATTTATTTTTCACCACCTGGCTTATTTCACTTAGCATAATGCTCTCCATATCCATCCATGCTGTTGCAAAGGTTAGCAGTGCCTTCTTTTTTCTGCTGCATAGTATTTCATTGTGTAAAGTTGTCTTCCCATTTTGGCTGTTTCTTTGTATTTTTCACCTTAAGAAATATTAAGAAAGAAAATTTTATATATGATTAAACTAAATAATAAATATAAATAAGTGAATTAATTTAAATATCAAAAGTAAGCTCTAGGAAAACCAGAATTTAGTTCTTTTTCAGTTTGTTAAAAGGAAAAAGTTTTTCTGTATTTTTCTCCAAATGAGGTATTATGAAAAATCATCTAGCCATAAAGCAAAGATTCTATGTTTTATTAAGATAATTCTGTCATATTTTCTTAATCAGATCCTTGACTACTTAAAAAAAAACCTTCTCAATCCTAAGAACAAAAGTTTTGCTAGTCTGTATTTGTTTGACAACTTTTATTGTCACTTTGTATAAATAAATAATTTAATATTGTTTTACAATGGGGTATGCTCTTTGGTCAAATAATTTGACAGACTTCTTAAGCTTTACATTTTAAAAGGAGACTTTTTTCTTAACCTGGAGATGGCATTAGGTTATTCCACAGGGCACTTGGAATACTTCAAAATTTTGGTGTTTTTTTCCTCCTCATAAAAGAAAAATTAACTAATTAGCATATTAAATATACTTGGATTAAATGAGTAGTTTTGTCAAATAAAAATATAGTAGCATGTTATATTTGTATACATATCTAGAGACTGTATAAAAATCTCCAATAGTCTACATAGTTCTGATATAATTTCATTTATAATTTAATTTTTATCTTAGCATGTTATGTTTCAGAAAAGCTAAGTTCTCTGTCAGTTAGAGATTTATATGCCTGTCACTTTAAGTTTTGTCATTTACAGAAAGTCACTATCTGACTGATGCCTTTACAAACATGTCTTCCTCTTCATAAGATTCGTGAAAAGGGCTCTGACTCACTCTCAGATAGAAGGTCTTGAGAATAGATGTTCACATTATACCTTTGAACTACACGAAAAATTTATAGCATTCTAAGAAATAACTGGATTCATGAAAATATTGGCAAATGATCAGTATAAACACACATCCATTAGATAAGACTGAGTGAACTGAGGGTATTTATCATTTTTAATATATTTGTTCAAAATATTGCTGATTCTCATTTTTTTTGTTTTCCAGATGTAAGAAATCTTTTTGTTTGTTTGTTTGTTTGTTTCTTAGAGCAGTTTGGTAAATTATACCTTTGTTACCAATAATGAAACATTGATATTTTTCTCTCTACTTTATCCATTCAGAATTTGGAAACTTAATAAATGATTATTATTATTTTATGGCAATAAAATTGTTCACATAAATTTAATAAGGATTAATTCTCTTTATAATAGCATACTATTGGTTTTATTAACCAAGACTTTGACTGGAATGGCAGGTTTAGGGAGATATGCATAGACTTTGGATATCACCAGAAAGATTTAAGGAATTAACACTTACTTTAAAGGCAGATAAAAGCCCCCTGGGAAGACAACCTGGTACCTTGCTTATATGGTTCACAGCAGCCTTTTTAGGTTATGAACAAAGGTTGCCATCCTGGTGTAACTGAGTACAGAGCGTGGGTCCCTTGAAAGTAAGGGAACTCCACCATCCCCCCTCAATCCTACAAAAACACATAGTGGGGAGTGCCCACAGAGTGATGAGTACAGCTTTTGAGGTACATTGCATAACAAAATCAGATTAACACCCTGTGCCTTCCTGATGGGAGGAGCTGCAGAAGGAGGATACTGCTGCATGGGGCAAATTGTGTATGTGACTATTGCACTGGCAGAGCGACTCATGACATAGCCAGAGTTGGGGAAGATCATATAGCACCTGTGTGAGCTGCAGGGGCTGATGCTCACCCTGTATGTCTGTCCATGGCAGGGAACTCTTGCCCTGACTAAATATGGCAGCCAAAAGAATGTCTAAGACTGGCAAACTGATAAAAATGGTGGACACTAACTCACCATAGGAAGAGCTGGATGTTCTGAGCCAAGCATTTAAAATTGGAGCAGACTGAGAGAAAAGAGAGGAGATTTGGATCTGCCTGGAGGTATGCCAGGAGGTTTGCCATGAGGTCTGGAGGTCAGCCTAGAGGTCTGCCTGGAGAAGACTGCAACAGAGCTGGCAGAGCTTCAGGGGACCCGCCTGGCTAAGCACAGACACACTAGTGAGCTGATGGTTGGGGTAAAGGCAGCTCCAGAGGAGGGAAATAGATATTGGGAGAAGGACTCAGGCTGGTACACCCAGACTTGTGAGAGATGCTTAGAGCTAAACTGGGACTAGGAATGAAGACAGTACTTCTGAGTGACATATTCTTAAACTGGTCTGGCTTAGCAGAGGGATGCAGGACTATTCATTTTTGGGTGTTTTTAAAGAGAGAAAGACTTAATAGAAGAAGGTTCACACCATCTCTGTCACACATACCTGGTATGGAGAAGTCACTCCTTTGGACAGGATCTCTTACAGCATGGAGGCTCTCTCTCTGGGTTTTTGACATTTGGACATTCTGGGCCTCTGGCCTTGCTTCCCACATGGACAGGAATGCTTGTGGGACCAGGACATGTGGGGCCCACCAGGGGTTTAGATCTTCATGGTTTTGGAGTTATGTAGCAAGAATTTCCTGCCAACTTGAGAAAGTTCAGATCTTTCTCAACTACCAGTAAATTACTCAATCTCACTTCTGAAATCTAATACCTCATCCTCTAACCCTTTCTCCTTTGTTCAAAATGTCTTATATACCCAATATTCCCTCATTGTCTTTGGAATTTTTATGAAATATCATGCCTATGTAAATAACCCATGTGGTTGTATTAAACTTTATTGTTCTCCTGTTAATCTGTATCTTTTAATTGTTTATTAGCTTAGCCCAGAAGAACTTAAAGGTGGGAGAAAAAGTATTAACATTTTCTTTAACCCCAACAATAACATTGATCATAAATAGTATAATAGGATTAATTTGGTTATGATTTAGGTATTGCTGTTTTTTAACTCTTAAGTCAAATTATTATCTATATTTCCCCCCAGCTTTTGATCTTAATTTATACCAAATTATTCTGAGCACTTCAGAAAGAAATGCTTTGGTCCCTTGCATGTATATTGTCCTTCCAATATAAACAGGATTTCAGAGTCTCTGAAGACCCAATACATGAAAAACCAGCATTTCTCAACAAATCAGCCTGCAAGGCCAAGGTTTTTTCATAGGGTAGCAGCACCGTTATGTAAATGGAAGTCTATCATACCCTGAAGTCTATCAGTGCATACCCTGAATGTACTGATCAATCAGTATTCCTAAATGTGATAGAACCAGGCAATGTTGGTATTCTGATGTGATACAACTTTGTATATAATTATTTATGGAGTGTTCTTAAAAATAATAATAAACTTTAATTTAACTTAATGTTTAGATCAGAATTCCAGTCATAAGAAGTATATGAGAAAAAAGAACAAGTTAACATCACAAGACAGCCACCTGAAAAAATTAGAATGCAGGACTTCTAAATTCAGACAGACCTGGTTTCTTCAGCAAGTTAAAGACACGGGAGAATAGCAAGGAGCATCATCAATAGGGGCTGCACCAGGTCCGAGGGTGTTAGGTGGTAGGTACTCTGTAACTTTGGCCATGGGCTGTACCTTGGCAATTGCTACTCCCTGTTGGCAGCAGCCCAGGAAGCTGCCAAACTCCTTCTGTGATGCCACAAGAAGTTGTACTCCTTGATGGCATGTTTTGCAACGTTCCTTAAAAGTTAGGACATAAGACTGTGTAAAGAAAATGATGCAATTATAATTCAAAATCTTTCCCTATATTTTCAATCCATTTTATGGAGTTTGAGCATTATAAAATGGTCATGTGTACAGATTAATAACTGGTTCCACCATAGATATTACAGGAGTTTTCTTCACTTAACTTACTGCTACAATTAAGTTACCTAGTAGTCCACGTAAAAGGTGAACACCCCCCTATAGAAATTGTTTACTGTAGTGTTGCTGAAACCATGGGAAAATACAATTAGAAACTGTTTTTGCACAATCTGAAATGGCTTATTATGATGGAAGCAAATGAACTATGTCTAGGACACCTTAGAATTCCAAAAAAAATTAATCCTGGTTTATCTCTTAATTACATGCACAACTTTCCCTCATAAGCCTATCTTTTACAACATATAAACTTATAAAGCAGTTTTTCACCATGACTGGAAAGAAAATCCTGCCCTCCCATCCACTCCCTTTAATAAGCTGTCAGAGAAAGAAGTAAGATGTTACTATAATATTTGGATGGAGCATTTTGTTGGATATTTACCAAGTCACAGAAACCACTGATATTCTAGTTCTTTCTTTTTCCTTCTTTCTTCCTTTTTCACCCTTCCATTCTTCCTTTTTTGATTACAGAAGTTATAGTTCAGAATATTGAGACTTCCGGCCAAGATGGAGGCCACACTGTGCCTTCTTGCACAACCAAAAGAAGGAAAACAAAAATTTAGAAACAAAAAAAAACAACCAGTACTGACAGAAAATTGGACTGTATGGAAGTCCAACAACCAAGGAGTTAAAATAGACATATCCATCCAGAGCAGTAGGAGGGGCAGAGTTGGGTGGCCGGGTGAAGAGGGGTTATGGCAAAAAAAGCGGTGGCTGGCGGACCCCAGCACAAGGTGGCAGCAGGTGAACCCAGCGAGGTAACGAATTATGGACAGGCACGGTGTGCAAGGCAGCTGGTAGAGCTGGTTGTCCCACATTCACACGCAGATAAACCAGGCGAAACTGGGGAGTGAGACAGACTGTATAACCCATGGTACCAGTGCAGGGAAATAAGGCCTGGAAACACCAATTGAAAACACCTGTGGGGGTTGAGGTGCCGGGAGAAACTCGCAGCCTCACAGGACAGTTCCTTGGAGAGACCCACAGGGTCCTAGAAGGTACACAAGCCCACCCACATGGAAATCAGCACCAGAAGGGCCCAGTTTGCTTGGGGAAAGTGGGGGAAGTGACTGAAATGAAGCAGAGAGTGGAGCAAGCACCATTGTTCCCTCTTGGACCCCTTCCCCACAAACAGCATCACAATGTAGTGACGTGGGTTGCCCCGCCCTGGTGAATATATAAAGCTCCTCCCCTCACTCCATAACAGGAGCATCAAGACAAAAAGACCCAAACAAAAGAACAGATCAAAGCACCAGAACAAATACAACTAAGTAACTAAGAGATAGCCAACCTATCAGATGCACAGTTCAAAGCACTGGTGATCCGGATGTTAACAGAATTGGTTGAATTTGGTTGCAAATTTGATGAAAAATGAAGGCTATGCTAAGTGAAATAAATGGAAATGCACAGGGAACCAGTGATGATGGGAAGGAAACTGGGACTCAAATCAATGGAGTGGACCAGAAGGAAGAAACAAACAACCAAACAGAAAAGAATGAAGAAACAAGAATTCAAAAAAATGAGGAGAGGCTTAGGAACCTCCAGGACATCTTTAAACGTCCCAACATCCAAATTATAGGGGTGCCAGAAGGAGAAGAGGAAGAGCAAAAAGTGGAAAACTTATTTGAATAAATAATAAAGGAGAACTTCCCCATTCTGGCTAAGGAAATCGACTTCCAGGAAGTCCAGGAAGTTCAGAGAGTCCCAAAGAAGTTGGACCCAAAGAGGAACACCAAGGTGCATCATAATTACATTACCCAAGATTAAGATGAAGTAGAGAATCCTAGAAGCAGCAAGAGATAAGGAGACAGTTACCTACAAAGGAGTTCCCATCAGACTGTCAGCTGATTTCTCAAAAGAGACCTTACAGGCAAGAAGGGGCTGGAAAGAAGTATTCCAAGTCATGAAAGGCAAGGACCTACATCCAAGATTGCTCTTTCCAGCAAAGCTTTCGTATAAAATAGAAGAGCAGATAAAATGCTTCTCAGATAAGGTCAAGTTAAAGGAGTTCATCATCACCAAGCCTTTATTATATGAAATGTGAAAGGGACTTATCTAAGAAAAAGAAGATAAAAAACATGTATAGTAAAATGACAGCAAACTCACAATTATTAACAACCACATCTAAAGCAAAAACAAACTAAGCAAACAACTAAAACAGGAACAGAACCACAGAAAGAGAGATCACATGGGGGGTTAGCAATAGGAGAGTGGGAGGAAGAGAGGGGAGAAAAATGTACAGAGAATAAGTAGCATAGATGGTAGGTAGAAAATAGAAAGGGGAAGGCAAGAATAGTATGAGAAATGTAGAAGCTAAAGAACTTATGACACATGGGCATGAACTAAAGGTGGGTAATGTGGGTGGGAGAGGGTGTGCAGGGTGGAGGGGCGTGAAGGGGGGAAATGGGACAACTTTAATAGCATAATCAATAAAATATATTTTAAAAAAGAATATTGAAAAAATTTTAAGCTGATTCCGGATAATTTGTGTGTTATTTTTTAAAAGAATTTTAGTGTTATTTGGAAATAGAATTAATTTCAAGGTGTTGACTTTAGCTTGATGGTGTTGTTCCAAGCTTTTCATTAAAGTCCTTACTAATATAAAGAAATCATTAAATAAATGATGAGTGAATGAATGGATGAATGCATGAATAAATAAATGGAGAAGAGAGAAACCTCCCATGCAAACAAATTTCAAGTAGTTGTGTAGTGCTTTGTCTTTAAGAAGACAGAGCATAACTCCCTTCTCCTTAAGTGTGGGTGCACATAATAGCTTCCTTCTGTAACTGGAGGTAGTAACTAGTTATTATAAGAAAGAGAACAAAGGTAATCAGACATTGTTGAGCCTAATGGGCTGGGGAGGATAGATTTGTTTGCTTCACCAGAAAGCTACAACCTCACACACTGCAGAGGATCAGAACAACTCCCTACAGCCCTCCCTTCTCCTCTGCAGTACTGGATTGTTGCAGGGAGCAGGACACGGTAAGCACATGTGCAATACAAGTGAAAATGGCACAGAGGATAGGTACTTGACCACAGAGACTATCAATCTAGCTTGGGGAAATAATACAGTTGTTAGGGAGATGGACCCCGTGCAAGACTGGGAAAGCTTGGGAAGTTGAATGATTACTTTGAAAATGCTCCTGATCTTTCCCAAGACAGATGATGTAATTCCAGGAGAACAAAGCCCACTCCCCACCTCCCTGGAAGTCATGCTTACCCCATGAACCTGTGTGTTCATTCTCTACAACCATGTGGCCCTAGCAGACTCCAAGCACAGCCCCCAGCTGGGAGCCTGGATATAATGGTATAGCCTGGAACACAAGCTAAGCCATGAGAATGGGGACTGACACTGCTACTAAGGACTGAGCTTTAATATGGCACAGAAACTCTGGACACTTTCTTTGTTTTTTGCCTTGCTGAAAACATGATTGAACTTTCTGCACAGCAGGACAGAGATGGGACACAGGGGCCACCTTCCACCTGAACAAACCTTACCACAAGACCACACCTCCCATACAGGTCCCTGGGGTGCTTTTCTTTCAATCCAGTGGAAGAGCCCACTTCCACTGGCAATACTTTTGTGGGAGATAAAAAACTATTACTATTTCCCTTCCACTTTCTAAGTTTTTTTCTGGCTGAGCTAATAATCAAATTAACAGAGACAAATTAAAAGGAGAAAATCTAAGGTTTTTAAAAAATATTTTATTTTTCTATTTTTTAGACAGAGGGGAAGGGAGGAAGAAAGAGAGGGAGAGCAACATCAATGTGAGATTGCCTCTTGCTCTCCCCCTACTGGGGACCTGGCCCTCAACGAGGCATGTGCCCTGACAGGGAATGGAATTGGCGACCCTTTGTTTTGCAGGCCAGCACTCAATCCACTGAGCCACACCAGACAGAGCAGGAAATGTAAGTTTTAATACATGCACATGGGGAATTCACATGGGCATAAAATTTCCAAAAGCCATGAGGCAACACTGGATATATAAAACATTTTGAACAAAGAAGAAAGAGGCTATAGTTCTCAGGAGCAAGTGTCCTTAAAATGTGCCACCCTGGCATGCAGATTATTTCCAACTAAAATCAATTAAAGCCTAACAAACTCAGTAATAATTTTGTACTTCCCCTTTTTCTTAAAAAAAAAAAACTCATATAGAAAATCCTGCTTCAGAGCAAGAGTTATAATTTAATCACCTTAAGAATTTTATATTCCACCGCTAGGAAGATTCCCAGTCTGTTGAGCTAGAATAATCTAGCTCCCCAATCTCACCCACCCCTTCCAATAGTGAGTTTCCCAGCTGCCTAGAAGAGTTTTCCTGCCATGTATATTCCTCTCTTTCTCAAATACCTGTAAGTCACTCATTTTCACTTTTAAAATCTGATACCATCTGCCCCTTTTATCTCCTTTGTCCAAATTGTCTTATATGCCCAATGTTGCCTCACTGTCTTTGAAATTTTTATACTTATGCAAATGCCCTGTGCATATGTATTAAGCCTTTGATTTTCTCCTGTTAATCTGCTGTGTAATGTTTGAATTATTCAGCCATCTAAAGAACCAAAAAGATAAGGGGACTGTTTTTCTCATCCCAAACAGGTAGAAATGGGGAATTAGGTTTCCAAAGTGAGAATGCACAATTTAAAGGTAGTTGGGGATGAAGGGAACAGACAAATTCTTGCTGGGCAACTCGGAAACATTGAGACCCATGGTCTATCTGGCTGAGAGACTTGGAGTCCTCCTGACCCAGTGCCCTTTTGTTTATCATACTTAATTCAAATTAGACTGAGGACACCATAAACTCTCATGCCTGAAGAAATTTTCTCTGTCTGAATCTCCTGGGCAA